GGACACAGAAGGATGACACGAAATGACGATGATATCGTCCATCTATCAAGCTACGGTCCACTGATCAATATTTTCAATTTTAACTAAAGTATTCGGTAGAGTAGTTTATGTCGTTGAGTTATTGTCTTACTATTTGTCTGACCAGAATACCTAGGAAGATTCACTGGTGAAAATTGGGGCGGTATCCGATTGTTAATTTGTCTTGCTCCCATCAATACGCATCACCAATGATGATAAGGAAGGGGGTGAACAAATATACATCATTACCAATTTAGTCTTTCTCACTATGACTTAATCATGAGATTTAAGGTTAAAAGAGTCAAGATGTTCTGAAGTGTTTTTGCTCTTTATTCAGCTAAAATGCAATAGCTATAATAATAAATATTATCTAGAAGAAAATATTCATAATTCTCATCCATTCCGTGAAGAGTTCATTTTATTTCGCTAGGTCCTCACTAACTGCTGACAACTAATAATCCTCTTCAAAAAATCAGAGTTATACACGGAAATTACCATACTTATACAATCTTCTTGAAAGTGAATATATTTCATAATCTTAGCGTGAAAATCTAAATCACTGGAACCATGTGTATGAAACTATTTATCTGGAAGTTGGATAGTAGCATAAAACACTGATTACGTTTATAGTTTTATGATAAAAGGATGGTTGGTATATCGAAGATTGAGTGAACTAAGCTTGTTGATGCAAAGAGAGGCATTACACGACGTACCCCACGGTGATCCGGTGCAGATGCGTGACCGAGCCACTTCACCTGAGTATGTCCACCAAAACTAATGAGGTCAGCATCAATATCGAAGACTTACAAAACTACTTATTTTGGGATTTTAATAACTACTACAGTTCACTTCTCCTCTGGTGCCGTAGTGATGACCCTGTGATATGACCAGGTAGAAATCCCAGCCCTACGTTCGTGACGTTGGTAAACGCTCTTTTGATAGTTTTGTTTTGTCCAGCATTGCCTTGCCATTTTTTCACTATCCTTAGCAGCCATGTAGTACAAATAGATAATATAGAAAAAAATGTACAATGACAGTCAGTTTTTCGTGTTCGTCTGCAGCTGTTCTGGAAAATAAAAAAAAGAATGTAACTGCATGAATGATGATATAGGTAAGCAGATGAGCGAAAATAAAAACTGGTATATATTCGTATATAAACTATGCGACAGCGATAAAAATAACACGAAAGATGTTTTATGAAAAATTATACACATATATATAAGCAGATCAAAAACACCCGAATCTGCTTTAATTCCAACAAAAAGGATATCAGCAAATTAAGCTTATTTTTTATTTTTCGGCACAATAGGAATTTAAATCACAGAGTTGTAGAGCATGGAGAAGAAGATAAGAAAGAGATGAGGATTTAAGTTGTCCTACACGCAGTGGTCGATAACATACTCTCGGAATCTCACAGATCTTCTAAAGAGCGTTGTTCTCAGTCTCTTTTCAGAAAACCACGAAGCTTCCTGGTGGTCTCTGCTGATCGGAGATTGTATTGTAGTCATTGGGACAATCTCTTGTTCGTGTGTTGAGAAGGTCGATAGAGGAGTTTCCTTCTAAGTAGGTGGCTTTCAGCCAGTCAATACTAATGTTATGTTTATTCCCGTTTCCATACAGCATGGAAAATGTTCGGAGATGTGTTTCGATATTACTTTAATGACAGCGAATGATATTTCCAATTACTCATTTTTGGAAGTCCAGGAGTAAGTTCTTATCAAGCGATATAAGTATTTATCTGAAATGTTTAATAAATTTCAGTGCATCGTTTCTATGTTAGCCGCTTAATTTTCTCTACCTGTTCAACGAAGATAGTTTTTGTCTTTCATATATACTACTTGCGAGTAGTATAAAATAAATAAATAAAATGATGACGGCAGCGCATCTGACAGATTATTTTGCATTATTTCACTAAAATTAATCAAAACATTCCAATGAAATAATCTTGAAAAGAAATTTTTCCTCTCTTATTTCTACGTGATTCTATGATTTTCTTCATACTAAGCAATAAAGTCATCACCAATATTCTATGGCAATCACTACAAATACTCTTAAATATGCCGTTCAAATATTACTATTGAATTCGTTACGATTGGATTTGAAATAACTCACTGTTACACGATGAATTATTTACCATTTATTCTGAAAACTTAATGATATTTCAAATCAGACAAAATTATTAGCTTGTCTTATAGTGTGAATAACGCAACAGAATACAATGAATTTGCAATTTATTACAAATTTCTACGACTTTGATTTATGAAGTGGAACAACTCCAAGAAATTCCTAAATCAGTTTACCAAGCCGCTCTCTGTAGCTTATGTTGATCAAATTTGATATGACTCGTATTATTGTTTTTCGCGTATTCAGAAACATTGGTATTGCTAAACTCGTCAATTTGACTTTTAATGCAATCAATTGTCACTTGGTACGATGAACTGAAAAAAATATCAGTGATTGTTATTCTCATTAGTAATGATGAATTTGTTGTTTCATAAGTAACTCAGTTATAATATCTTGGTGGAATACTTTTCTTGTGATGCCAACAGTCTCATAAAGCATGATTCAATCTATTACTCAGTCAGAGAACAGTCTACTGAATTATTTTGATTTGGTTATCTCTCTATTTCTGCATTATGATATATAGAAAAATGCAAGCAGGTACACATTTCCAAATCAAACATTTGCAAGAGTGACCAATCAATAATGAGAATATTTTATTCTTTCCAGTTTTATATCGTTCTATGTGACAGATTCATGCTAGTCGGAATGGTAATATACTATGGAAACAATATTTTTCAGAAAAATATACTACTTAAGTTTCATTCACTCACAATCAGCTTTCGAATTTTATCATGTAACCAAAAGCTGATCTTTCTGAGATATCACATTTGATTTCAAAAATACTTGTTTTTGTTTATTCTACAATGAATTTATAGCTTCGTCAAATTTCCGGTGGCCGAAACTCAATGGCCACACCAATTATATTTATTTCAACTAAGAAAAAATTTAACCTTTAGTTAGCTGAGAAAAAATTACCGATTTTGATTACGCTACTTATTAGTAAAAAGTAGTATAAAACTGAATGTCAGTAAAGTTAGTTCGATTGCTGAGTTATTTTCTGTTGGAACATATCATCTGTTTTTTGAACTGTGTAAGCAATTACTGGAAATAAGTTCATCTAATAATATCGATTTAATTACTTTTATCTTAAAGTGTTCAGACTTATGTCATTTTAAATTAATCCAGAACAGCAGTTAATAGCACCCGCAAACTGCTCTGAAGAAAGCTTTAAGTACAACCTGTCTACGTGAAGATGATCTTCACTTAAAGAGATTTCATTTTATGTACTCCAAAATCCTCGAATCATTCATTCGTTACTCAAAACTTGTGACCCGACCGTAGCTTCTACCTTGACTCGGTGGTCTGGCTTGCCTCTCGTGACGAGCTGTATTGGCAGGAACACATGTTCATAAAGGTTCTGTCACGCCAGGCAGGTCGATTGGAGAACGGTGAGACCAACAGCAGCTACTCAAGGTCTGAGGACAAAGTCGTACTGCTGACTGAAGAGGAGTGTGACAGCAGTAGGGTGTTTCCCTCGGACAACAAGCATCTGCAGTGGCGCTGCCTTCTCACAAGGAAGCGAGGGGTTACAATAGGTCAACCGTAAAAAACGTCACACCCCAACCTTGACTCACGGATTTCCATCTTCGGTGGTAAGGCCTTTTAAATAAGAGCGAAACCAAAACTTTAAAATTTCATCATAAAATGGCCGTGCGTGACTATCCCCAAGCAGTTTTCCCTTGGGCTCTGCGATCACGCTCCTAGGTCTCTAAAACGAAAAGTAATCTACCTTTCCTTTCATATTCCTCTGGAAATGCCCTTTTGTACTCATTTTTATGTTCTTTATTTGACCCCAATCCTGTTTACTCCCAGATGTATATGTACATCTTTTATCAATGTCGATTACTTTGCATTATACCACAGATCATTGTTACACGTCATTACATATATGGTTGTATGCAGCTGATGTGAAACCACGAAATATAATGAATTCATATTATTCTGCTTTAATTGCTGTTCTGGTTTTATTTGAATTCATAAAGAGAACAAACTGCATGAAATTCATTAGGTAAATTTCTGGGATATTATGGCTGAATGATACAAACCAGATACAAATTTATCTGATTATTTTATATATTATTATTATGTATGTATATAACTTGCCTTCTCATTATTTTATCGGATAGTTGCTAAATTTCTAAGTTATTCCTCATTCCTAGTAAATTTTTTGAACTTATGAAAACACTCAACTCCAAGACACTATTATCAACTCGATGACAGTGTGGTGGTACATACTTCTCGCAATGTCGGATCCAGATGACTGACAAGACCAAAGTGTCTTGAAGACGTATGAAAGAAAACAACCAAGAATCTGACTGTTTTGCCAATGGAAGCCTGAAGATAAGTTGTAGACAATTTGCTAGTGAACTGTGTCTTCTTTCAATAAACCACTTATTCCATCTAGTCTTAATATTTTCATTCATTACAATGGGAATAAGTAAATATTCCGTTCTAAGTAAAGATAATAGCTACAATGTCCGTCATTGTTTACTACTAATGATGGCACATATTATCGATCCAATGAAAATCAATGTTCCAACAATGTACACAATTCCATGAAATACAGTTAAGAACTAAGAATAACAGGGAAACAATAATAGATAAAAATTCCTATTTTTATTTGTATTAAATGATACACAGGAAAAAAATGCGTTTTATCTTGGAATAATTTCTTAAAAACCTACTCAACAAAAACTCTCAATTGTTTGAATGAAGTCTAAAAAAAAAGTTCTATTACAAAACCAGATTTATGAGATTATAATGACATAAAAATAAACATAAAATTGAGATTTTCATGCATATAAAGAGGATTATTAGATAGTATTGCATAATTATGTTTTATTTATTGCAAACGTATATTAACATTTGGTTCGTGAAGGACTTTGGTCTAAAATTGTTCTAGCATTCATTGGATTAGAAAGTTGATATTCACTAAGTAGAATAATATAAGCATCATCAAATACTGTACCATGTGTATCCATACCACCATGAATAAACAAATACTCTTGATAATATTCATCTTTATCATTGATATCATCACTAGCCTTATCACCGTTATCAATATCATGGTTATATTGTTTATCTGGAAAGAATAACAGTAATAAGGAAATGACAAGTGTTAGAAAATCAGATTTTTGTATATTATTAGGCCACCAGGAAAAACATAGGTCATCAGATGCAAAGATGATTTACTCTGAAAATCACCTAGCATTAAACACAATTTAATAGATAGGTAATAACACAAGACGAGTAATACTGAACAATAGACTGTTGTGACCCTTTTTGCTTTAAATCCAAATGCTTAAAGTAAATTTAACTTATTGTAACTTGTTGCATAGAGATAAAACAAGTAGTAAGCGTTGACTCGGTCGTAATGCTATTTTTGTTTTAATAACAAGCATATTCTAGTCTAAATTCAAAATAAAACACATTATATTCGACGAATTTTCGAATCTCACGGGGAGTTTCGGTTCCTTAGATATTTTAGATGTGTTTTGATGATGAGTAACAATTAGAAAAAGATCTAAGTTCATTGCTCTCTACCTAGTGCCTCTAACCCACTCATATCAAAATAATGTACAACACGATGGTCAGTTACTTAACCAGCAGAATTTGATCAGTATAAAGAACTAGACAATATGATTGGTTATTTGAATCTTCACATTGATATTTACAACTGTAATTGACCAGTCTTTTTTGGTACATGTGCATCCTGTGAGAACTGCCTCGATACTGCCATTAAGGTACAAATAGTATAACCATAGGTGGATGGTGGCTAGCAGTGGAATCCAGGACGAGCAGTACCGGATTCAAATCTCGGAGTGAACATCAACTCTTGGATGCAGGAACATTGAGCTGACAAGTCCGAGATAGGACGTGACGCGCGTCTTGGATTTCCCTGCTAGACATCATCCATATCTGTTTGTGGTTGTTAAAACTGTTTCCAATTACATAATGCCCGGATTTTTTCCCCCAAGGTACAGTTTACAAGATATACTAACGAACTAGAAATTTGAATAATTAAATCTACCAAAGTCAAGTTAATCATAAAGATTTACACCTATAATTTACGATCATTAGTCAGAAGTATCGGTCCATGCTCCACTTACTTCAGTTTGGGTAGACGAGTAGTATCAATAACTCTACCCCGCTCTCGTTATGGTTAGTAGCTCAGCACATGAATATGTACTTAGTAAGTAACCTAACAAGACTTAATCACTTCAAATTTTATTTCAGTGAGATTGTATGGGTAGACATTAGAAACTGTTCTCTCTTTATATGGTTTTGCATTAAACTGATCATACTTGTAGACTGAAATATATATATCAAAGAAAATATCAATACCTTTAAATATAATGTTCATTGAAGAATTACTCTTTGAATCCTTCTTAACGATTAATGAAAATGTACAATAAGCAAAGTCTAAACGTGGACTCGGTGATACAGAATCTTGGTATTTAATTTCAGTCCATTGTCTTGTATCTAAATAAAAAGAAAATCAAAAACGGAAAAGCAGGGGTTGGGCGTAAAACAAAAAAAATTAGTTAAATGCAAACGAAGCTGATTCGTCTTATTTGATAAACTACAGAGACGATTGATTTAATCAAGGTAATAACTTAACTATGCAACTGAGAGCTCAAAACTAGAACGCTGTACAGCTTGAAAGTTATCATTCGGTGAAGTAAAATACTCATGATTATAGTAGAGACAGATATGAATATGTATCAATTCCAGTTACCATACCCCACACCAGTACAGTGAGATAGGAGGCTAACAAGATAAATCTGGTTCTATGAAAGTATACTGGATCAAAGAATAACCGACTTTGGATGAAGTTACTAGACGTGTACAACCATATATACCGGATATTTGACTCAAGACATCAATGATCGAAAACTGCCGTCTGTATATTCTGTTTCCATCTTATAGCTGTGCGAAAATGCACATGGGATTGAAGTATATTCACTCCTTGACAAACATCTCGTCTGTGCTGTAAGTGGTGTACCTTCGCCAGCTTTTAGAGTCTGATGAAATTTCACTTGTCAGTAACCTATCACAGACGATAAGACTCATGATATGTGACTAGTTCGTTCCCTTTGGTCGTATTATTAAGAGAAAGAGAAGCACACTCCAAACATTGCGTGAATTTTCATTTAAGGAGTTTTATTTGAATCTTCAAAGAGCTTATCCCTTACATAGTTTATAAAACTGAGTAATTCCAAGTATTATTTTGGTCATTAACGTTGTGGATTAATAAAATGAACCTTACATATTTTGAATAAACATTCACTAACTTGTATCGAAACAAAACATATCATTCAGAGCTCCATTTAATGACAATCCGCCAAATATTAATATTTTACTGGTATCATGTCCATAAATTTTATTTGTCAAAATTATTCCACCATGAGCAGCGCGTGGACCTGGAGATGTAGTTTGTGTCAATCCAATATCTTCTGAATTCAAACATTCACACTCATTTTCCCCATTTCCATGACCAGTAGTGAATGGTGATAATTTATCAGTCGGATATAGTTTACTCCACATCCCTTTAAAGCGTAAACTATCATCAGTCTGAAAATAATGGAAATGCACATCCAGGTGTAACTGAGTATAAGTGAAATAAGTTCAGGTAAACAATATCAAAACTAGTCACATTTTCGGAAAACTGTTGAGAGGATTCCGTGAATTCATAAACCGGTTTGAATTGTTAAAATAAGTGTAGAGAATTCCAAATGATGGGGTAACTTCATTGATGCAGTGTGAGCCAGTGCTGGATGCTTATTTGTAAAGGTCAAATAATCCCCTTACGTGTTTGTGTACAAAAATCAAAATTTTGAGATGGTGGAGAGATCCACTATTAAATTTAAGATATTAAGCTTTATATGTTATATCACAAAGTCGAAAAAGGATGAAAAATAAGGAAATAAACAATTGAACTGAATTGTGTCTTAAACTAGAGTTTTGAGACATTTTAACATTATTAGCGTTTAATCTGTCAGTAACCTAAATTCTCAACTTATAATACTTAAAATAGTTCATTTGACAATATAGTACCGCTAATATATAATATTTACTTGTTAAAATATTGAGTTTCTACTGTCACCGTTGAAGCTTATTTCATAAGCATTGATCATTATTTTGTTTCAATGAAAACAAAAGTAGCGAAGTAGATTTCATTGAAAAATTTTAAATTATAAAGGAATTCAAATAATCTACAACAGTAACTTGGTACGCTATTGTCATTCATAGATTGCAAATCTAAACATTCTTCCAACAAAATAAAGGCTAGGAGTTTATTTATATTTATAAATTATCTTGTTATCTTGACTTAACATCATTGAAGTCAACATAATGTAATTATAATCATTGGGCTATTTATTTATCATCTAAACGAATGAAAGTGATTAAGAATTCATTAATGAGAGTATCTGGATTAATAATTATCAAAAATATTTCTAAATTATGCTTTATTAAACAGTCAACAATGATAGAAAGTATTTTCTTGTTTAATATTCAAATAAAAAATTTCGCTTACTTGATTAGTAAAATGTAATACATAAATATCATCAAATAGTTTTTCATTAACCATGCCACCATGTATATACAATTTGCCTTTTGGAATACGTTCATAATTTGAACTTGTTAATTGATAAGGCAATTCGTATAGTATTAAATGACCTAATCGTGAACATGGTGGTAAACCTTCCACTGGTATAATACTCCATACATTTATTTCACTATCATACATATGCACCTGAAGTGTAATTATAACAATGATAATAATAAAAAATAGTACTAATGAATAGTTTACAATAAATTAATAGAAACTTGAAAAAAATTTAACTAAAAACAATATGGTTGAATGTGAAAGATTTTTTTATCATGAATAATTATAGTTATAATCGTAAATTTTATTTAATTGAAATATTTAGATTACATTTCATTTGTAAACTAACAGATCTTCGGGACATCAAAATTTAATTGCATACGAACTGAATAGAGTAGTGAGCATAAGTCAACTTATTGTTGAACTCAACAGCAGTGCACAGTCACATGATGGTTCGGATCTTGGAATGAAAATGATATCATTCAGTTATTTGCTGATAACCTTCGTCTTCTGATTTCAATACGTATATCTACTTAGAACCTGATAAGGGACCGCTTTCTACCGAAACATTATTGTGTATTTACTTCATATCCTACTTAACTGACTCTACGGATCACGACATTCCATGAGAACTCCTGCAAACCTCTCTTAAAGATAGTTACTTGCGCATTTACACTCATCTATGAAAAGACACATAAGATAATGTTTGGAGGTATGTTTGAAAAGCTATGAGTTCACAACTCTATCCTTTTTTTACCGGATTATTTCATGGTTAATCTTGACGGTTTTCTCTTATTCAGCAGACTTTTGCATGACAATTTTATTATTTTTAATGGAAACAGTTATCTCAATGTTACCCTAGGTAAGTTTGATAGTTTCCATCAGTCAATTAAGCCTACATTGGAACCAGAGTTGAATTTGGAATTTCATTCCTGCAATGTTTTATTTAAAAAAAAGGGTGGATGGCACATTGCAAAGATCAGCATATTGAAAACTAACTTGGAATGGAAGTGTGATATGAGAAATGATATCATTATTCTACCAGTATCGTTACAGGAGGATTCTACATCGGTTTAGTGGTAAGATGATGGCCGGAAATCAGGTGTAATACTTAGATCTTAATCCCTTCACGGGTGAGTGATATACAAAATTGATATCCACTAATCGTTTATGAAAACTAATCATGTACACATAAGCATATTATTTTAGTCGATAAGAACCTATTCATTTGGATAGTGGTATTGTTTTTTTAATATTTCTCCACAGAAGATACAACAGTAGCACGGTCTAGTGATCAGTTATCACTCGACTACACTGTATTTTTTACAATCGATCAATAACATGTTCATTTCTTTTCACAGTCAAGAAGCAACACCGCATTCATCAAATCCTAATCTAGAAAAGTGTTAATGGTCGCAGTGATGCGTTGACATACAGAGGACCAAGTAAATTGATCTATTTTTTATATTAAATAGAAACGATACTGTTTAACTCAAAGGCTTTGTGATAAATTCAGTTTATTCCTATTTGGAATTATTTTATCAAACTACTATTCGATATTCATGCAGTATGGCTGCTTAAGCATTTGGTACACCTTTTGTAGATAATGATGTTTAATAAACGAGTAACAGATAACAGTAAGCTAATAACTATACATATTTAATTATTCGGATGGTTGGTTTCGAGGCAGACATTATATATAGAACATCGTTATGCGTACTTTATCATCTGGTACTGCTTTACTACTAACATCCCCACCAGAAAATACCAAAAGTTGGTTATGTTCAGTTAATGAAACAGAAGAGTGTTGTGTACGAGGTTCGTAAATGAACTGCTGAATGTCTGTTTGACTATGATCCTGATTTAAACTTGCAGTGATTTCATCCACGTCATAGACAGATGAGGTTTTTGGTGTTGATAGACAATGGATTTGTAGACGGAGTAGTTGACTTAAAGGACCAGTTTTAGTTGCACCACCAAATATTAATAATTCCTGAAAAACAATTCAATGAGATTTATGGAAGATGAGTATCCATATAGTAAAATTTTCTAAATGAAGTGGAATGGTTAATTACTGGTCAGAAGGAAAATTTATTAATTATATACTAAAGAAGGATGGAAAAGGTAGTTTGAATTCAGATGCTAAGATTGGAGCTGATTGGGATATACTTATTAATCAACAGGTAACTATGAAAATAAACACGTATTGATAACCCAATCTGTCAATCTTTATCTCAACACACAGGTTTGGTTGCTGAGTAATGGTAAACTTCAAATTATTACATGTAATCTTATATTTTCTGGATTAGAATTGGGTTACGTAAATAGTCGTATATTATTATACTAATAATCACCTATCAGAAATTTTTGGTGATTAACTTAATTTTGATTCGTGATTTCAATGTGTAACGTAATTTTATTATAGACATAGTACAGACTTAAGTGAATGTCCCATCTGAACACGTCTAGATGTAGTTGGTTCGGCTCTTATAATAGATGTGGGTCAGAAGTTCTGAGCCATCAAATATAGAATTTTAAACACAAACTTCATTTTTTGAGACCAGGTGGACTGCTAACTTTTTATATACTTCATTTGTTTATCACCACATTTCTTAGAAATGATTATTTAAACTAATCACACGAATCATGTTTAAAATTTAAATTGCTATGGGAAAACTAGGTAGATAATTTAGATGAACAGAACTGTAAGTAAAGACAAATGATGCATGGACAACTCTGGCACTTCAACTCACTCGATTATTTAGAATTGCACTGCTATGTTCATACCTTCCCAAACATGGAAAATTAATTGTCTGTTCCAAACCAACAGTGTACCACTTAAGTGATATTATATCTAGAATGTGGGCTTCATTAAATACTCCCAAAGTATTTGCACCCCCAATCATTATAATCAATGGTCGGTTGCCAATGTTTTGATGTTCCAAGCATAAAACATGAGCCGAGTGACCTACACGTCCAAGTGGTGAGTTCCCTTCTAAGACGTAAGAAACATTGCACCTATAATATATACATACACCAGAAAACTAATAATATGATATGAACAAAAGATGCATACATAACTTTCGATTATTAGCTTAAGATCACGCAAGTTTCTTTATTTTTACAAGAGCAGGTAAATTAGTATTCATAAATACAAATGAAGGATATTATTGTGTATAAAAGTGGCTTGGAAGAATGTTTTAAAATTATCTAACCTTGGATAAACGATGAACATGGTGATTCTTGGTAAACAAGTTTGGCTGAAACTGAACGTATGGACAGTTCGTTTATCAAAACTTTCAATCACAATGCACTTGTGGAAACTGAACTAACAAACATTACTTAACAGTTTAGTACAGAATCACCTGTTGGATTTTGAGCAACATATCGTGTATGAAGGTTAGTGTTAGTCCTCAGTGACAACTAGGAAAGCTTATTTTGGCTGAGTAGATGGTTTTCGATTATTTTAAAACGTTAATTTTGAAAAGTCGGATCTAAAAATGATAGTCGACATTTGACTTGTTAATGTATTTCTAGACTTTTGTAATATGAAATTATCATATTGAAAAATGATGCTCTAGTTAGTTGTAATAGTTAAACTTAATAGATGTCTTATGGTTTATAGGAATACGGACTTCACATAGTTTCATACTGTTAAGTGGAAATGATTGGCATTAGTTAGTTATCATAAGCAATATCACTCTTGATGAGACAGTGTCTGATGTAAGCCTGGAATGGATTCAGAGAGCCCGATTAACTTTCGCTTACTTTTAGCGCAGGCGAGATATCTGTCTGCCAACCGAAGGAAGATTCTAACGTGCACAAGTTCTTTCTGTCCCATTTCAGGTGTTTGAAACATAGGTAGGTATTGATCGTATATTTTTGGACTACCGAGTAAGCAATGTCTGCGTTAGGACAGGAAATCAATTGATGATGAAGTGGATCTTCATTGACTAAGGTGGTTGAGACATATGTTACGTGTACCCAACTACAGCCTACACTGATGGGCGATGTTTTTATGTCTAGTGGACCGGAAAAAAACCAAAACATGGTACCACTTCATGAGGTCAACGAAAAATAAACTATCTGACTGGGGTCCGCATGATAGCCGTGTAGTGAATCCGCATTTATGAAGAGAACAAGATTGGTTTAATGGAAACATTCACTATTATAACTAACTGTATCAGTGATGGTTTAACTGTACTCTTTGCGCGCAAACTTTCTGTTTGTGTTTCTGTTATCTTTGCTCTACCGTCGCCCCACTTTCATAACCCGATTTCGGTATTCCTTCGATACCACGAAATGACCAGCAAATACATTCTTTATCATGGATTAATTTATTTTCTCAGTGACGGGTTCGTAATTAGTATTTAGTGGTGATCATACTCAATCTCCATTCAATCACCACCAAAGCCGTAACTAGTAGTCAGAGACTTCCAATTACAACTCAACGTCATTCACAAAGGCGTAGGTGCATTTATTCGTCATCAACAATCGTCAACAGCAACGTAGAACTTCGTACGTACCTCAATTCAAGTTACCATACCACATTAGCACAGAGATGTAATTGTCAATTCAAATTCAATAGTAGTAGAGGTAGTGCGAACTGAGGGTCTTTTTCAAGACCCATGGCAAAAGAAATCGTAAACCAAGCAGTGTCGGTTAGTAGTCAGTCATGTAATAATAGACTAAACCGTACAGTCCGAGAGTACAAGAAAACGTCAAGTAACCAAATGGATTCAAGGAAAACTTTCATTTGTGAGGAATATTACATTTGGATCACTAAACTGTTGGATGAATATTTTTGGATAAAAACCACTTGCTTACATGGACCAAAATATAACGATCAAACTGACCTACAATACATGGAAATGTGACTAATGGACAAATTTACGTCCATCAAAACTGTGATTTTGTTTTCAGTCCGCGATATATGCACACAGGATTTAAAACTGATTGGTTCAAACTGGGAGAAGCAGCTTTCGAAAAATTGAAAGCATGAAAAGACTTGGGGACAAGAAACATGGATGTAGTGTCGCAACCCTTTACTCATCGACAATCATTAGACTCCAGTGCATCCTATGACTATCCCATATTTTCCGTATCTACTGGTTGCTATTTATTTTATCAGTACCATCAGACTATTTGAAGTAAATAAGACGGTACAATGTGAGGAACTCAACTAAACATTAAGCTCTTCCTACTATTGGGTACCAAATAATAAATACAAATAAGTTAGGTAAAACGCTTAAAAAGACTTTATGCAATTTAGCTTACCAAGAGCCGAATATGCTCAACTTTCCAAGTAATTTGTACATATTATAAAATGACGCAAAGTTTGGAGCGTTGAGATGCTTCTGAAGGGAGAGCGTTCTTCTTAATGAAAATCCTATTGTTGCCGCTACTAGAGTAAATAGAAAGAGATGATGAGTTTCCGAACGTCAGAAAACTGTAATTTGAAGGTTTTTTGATATTCAGACGGTATATAACAGGTGCTGGGTCATCATAATACTTGTCGACAGTAATGTCACTTTCTTCCAAAAGTCTGTCATCGTTTACATCACAATTCGACATGAGGCAGACATGATGTACAGGTTTATGTTTATCTTAAGATTAATTTAGGTAGTGAACGGAGTACAGAGTAATGTGCGTGTAGAAATCAAAAAGGACGATCAGGTGAGCCAGTTTTTCAGTAGGCTCACAACAATCAATCGATGGTAATCAGCAGTAAAACGGCGTTGGAATCGAGGTAGTTCAACGACTGCAACTAGGTGTGCAAGCACGAGATTTCCAACCTGCAACACGTGTAACTCCAGCTTTTAGTAAGTTTCAGTTTAGCCTGCAAGTGACCCAATGGTTCAGTAAGTACATTTAGTGTACGTATTTCTAGTTAGGTAAGCAATCGATAACAATCAGAAATAACACAAGAATTGGATTTATAAAAAATGATAATGGAAACGAGAAGTTGGTAGCGTGTAGTTTCAAATGGGTTACATGTGATCAGGTTCATAAAAGTGTTTCGCAGTTGTCTGGGTTACAATCTGTTTAAAGCAACATTTCAGCACAACTTCCTCGGTTCGCATATATGAGCTTACCTTCGAATTTGTTGTTTTTCCAAACGTTTAGCTTCTTCAGGAAATTATTTTCCAGGTGGTGGTATATGAAATTAGGTTAATTATGTTTTATCCAATAAACCTTCATTGATGATATCTTCACTCTGTATTCTTAGAACCATTCTGTAGCATTTATCTTTGTTTTGCAATCTATACTCATATACACACAGTTTTTAATGGCTACTCTATCTCATCAATAATAATACTGAAGTATTTATGATTTAGTCGATTTTTGATAACCACAATAAAATGACGACAAATCTGTAGTGATACTCCTGAAAACATTTTTGTTTGATTCTTCCTGGAGCCCCTCTGAGGTTTTCTTTCGGAGGAAAGTTAAGAATTTGGTTAGCGATCCCATCCCATAGAAAATCAACTCGCCCTGGAAGTTAGAATGTTCCCATTTCAAAGAGTCATGACGTATCATAGTGAAAACCGAGTTTTTCTTCAGGAGTCACGAGGTCGATGCTCCTTCTGAAACCATAGCAACCCTTAGTAAGGGTACATGTTAACTTCATATATTGTGAAAGACCTCGAGAACTGTGGAAATGTAAATATCCATATTGGTGGTACTTAGAATCGGCGAAACACACTAGATCCAGGTTGGACAGAAAAAACTAGCTTCAGGGGAGATGCTGTTATACTCCGGTGGTATAAACACAAGGATCTGTTTTGATATTCTCCAAAGAAGCACATAAAGCACTGGTAGTTTTGGATTCCAATGGACCTGGTTTCATTGAAGCTTCCATCAAAACAAAGAATCGGGGGAATAAAATGAGGGTCATTCAGTGGCATAAGCCTACTGACGGTAACAGGTGGGTGTTAATGAACAATTCTATGAGAAGTTGAAACGGATTGATCATTCTGATAGGAAACCTAAATGTCAAGATTGGAATGATCAACAGAAGATACGAAGACGTCATGTGACGACATGAAGCGGGAAAAAGAAACAAAGACGATAAGAGATTTGCGAACCCATTTACCTTCAACAAACTGATCATAGACGGAACCATATTTCCACGCAAACGCATGGACAGAGCTACATGGGTTTCACCGAGTTCCACCACGGAGAACTAAATGGATCAAATCTCCATCAGTAAAAAATTCAGGGCTATGGAGAATGTAAGAGCTGAGAGAAGGACTGACAGCTTAAGATCACCACTTGGTAGTGGTTAGGATGAAACTGAAGGCTTGCCAAAGAATATCGTAAACCGGAGCAGCAAAACAGGTAGGCAGAGCACTCTGAAGAACATTTGAATAGATTAGTACCACTCAACCAACCCAACATCGAAGCATCAACCACGGACCTAATAACTGATGATGACTCACCAACAGTCGAAGAGATCAGGATGGTCATCAGAGACGATCAGCAAAGCAGCAGGATCAGATAAATTTCGAGAGACACGTAGAAATAACCACAAAGACATTCTCTTCAGCAAGATATGGAGTGAAAAACAAGTACCAAAGGACTGGAAAGAAGTACTACTCATCAAAATACCAAAATACAGAAGCTCTACTCTAGTCTCAATATCAGGGCAAATCTTCAACACAGTGGCATTAAACCGAATGGAAATTCAAGGGACACCTAAATGCGTCATTAACGGATTGGATTCCGTAAAGACCACTGATATACCGACGAAATCGTAACAGTACGAATTATAGTAGAACAATGGATTAAATAGAACTGATCACTGAACATCACCTTTCTAGACCATGGGAAAGAGTTTAGCATTGTGACAGAATGACATTTTGAAGGCTTTCTCGACACTACGGTGTACCTGGGAAGACAGTCAACATCAAACAGAAATCCTAAAATATACTACTCTGCAAAACAGTGCACCAAGGACTGCTCACAAACTCATTCCTAGTGAAAACCGATATCAAACAAGGCTGCTTACTCTCACCGTTTCTCCTTCTCTCGATGGTCGACTGGATTATGAAAACGTCAACATCTTTAGGGAGGCATAGGATATATTGACCAGTCTCGATGCAGCTAGAAGATCTAAAATTCTCATATAATCCAGCTCTTCCATCCATAATGGAACAACAAATTCAGGAGAAGACGGTCAATTTAGCAGCAGTCTTGATAGCAATAGGTCTCAATTTACGAAAAGGTAAAAGCAAGATCCTCCGATACAACACAACATGCACCAACCTGATCACACTTGATGGAGAAGCCTTAGAGGATGTAAGAACCTTTAAATATCTGAACAGAATCACTGGTGAGCAAGTTGTGTCTGATGCAGACATGAAGATAAGGCTTGGCAAGGCAAGGGGAGCGTCCTATTGAATGAAACTGAAACTTGGAGAACTACGAAAGCCACGGTCCATGAGATACAAGTGTTAATTGAAACATGCCTATGCGAAATACTGAGAATCCGTTGGCCGGACACCACTAGCCAAAACTATGTGGTGCAGGGAACAGAGCAGACATCAGCAGAGAAAGAAATAAGGAAAAAGGGCCGGAAACTGAGTGTACGCGCATTGAGAAAAGCATCCAATTGCATCACAATACATACCCTTACTTGGGATGTTTAAGGTCATCGGAAAATACGAACACCAAAGAATACGTTATTCTGGGGATTAGAGACAGACATTAAAAAACGAACAGCGATCGGACGGAATTGGAAAAAAGTCCAAGAACAGAGTAAGTGGGAGAATGTTGGTCGGGGACCTATGCTCCACTAGGATAAATAGCACAAGCAAGTAAGTAGTGATATTTGTAAATAGCCTGCGTTCATTCTGGTAAGCACCGGAATAATAGTTGTACGTGCATGTTTATTCGAACTTAACTCCAAAACCTAAATATGCAACTGGAGCCTATTTTATGCCGAAAATAATTTATTCCTTTGTGGTACATTCTTCAGCTGAAGCTCACGTTTCATCAGATTCGGTTAAATATTTTATCCATTTGAAATTATCAATCAATCATCGTTAGATCAACATTGGAAACCTGGAAGCACTGGACGGCCGTTTCGTCCTGGTATGGGCCCCATACCACTAATCTCGATAACTTTAATTGTAAATATTTTGTCGTTTCGCCTACGCTATTCTTAACTAGTCTTACAAAGTCAACCAAAGAGTGACAAAGTAATCGCACCTAGGCACAGTGTCTTCAGAAACAGTTCTATTGTCCCCAGAAAAACGGGGAACGGTAGAGAAAAAAATCTGAACACACACTAGATTTAGTAACAATCCATCAAGATCATCATCGTTTCATACCACTCAAAAGGAGTCTGTAATGAGCAATAAATTGTTTAATGTGTTATTATTTCTAAACATGTTATAGTGGCCTTTCAATTGTATTTTACGTACTACACTATTACTAGGCCGATTTGTTTGTAGTTCGATAGGTGTTGTCCTGATACTAGATGGAGGTTTGGGTAACATAGGTGATTTGAACAGGCCTTAAAACTTTAAAATATGTTAGTTAGTGGGATGGAGACATATAAAGCATTTTTCCAGTGGTATTGAATGGATATTTAGACTTTTCTGTGTCCAAAGACTATAACTCCTCGGATGCGAAGTCCTGATTATTGGACTTATTGAGCATTGTGTGAATTCTGGTGTGAAAGATATGCCTACCGAGACTTTTGAAATGATGTGTAGGCAATGTTTTACACAGGTTACAAAGTTATTCAAACCCTTGATAACTATCAAGAATAACTAAATATTATATAATCATTTGTTGAACAGAGATGTTAGTGACAGGTGGGGAGTAGAGTATTAACTGAGGTAAATAAGAAAATGCAATTAATGTATAATGAACTATTTTAACACCTACTATTACAAACTAGTGATACCACAAATATTGTATTTTAGTAGTTGTTTTCGCGGCCTTCTTAAACTACTCGCTACTGTACGCGAATATGATGTTAGACGACTCCCTAGTGGAAGAGCAACTTTCCGAAATGTTGGCCTTTGAACTTGGTCTAGATGCAGTGAATTTCGATTCTAAGTCTGGTCCGACATCGTTGGGTAACCCTTCGCCAGTCGACTTTTATTTACAATATTTGGGACTATACTTGATGAAATCTGATTTAATCAATGCAAAGTTTTTGTACAAAAGAATGCCAGCCAAAATTAAAGAGCACACGTCAATAAAGTGCTTATGGGATCTTGGCCGGTTCCTCTTTCGAAATGATGTAAAGTCTTTTTTCTCTCGTTCTGTGCAAGTTTTGTCGGATCCAATGCAGCCTGAAATTCTCGTTCAAATGGTCAAACAGATTCGTGATAAACAGCTTAACTCAATGGTGGACCTTTTCTTTCGCGCATATTCACACATAAGTGTTGATTTTTTATGTGACTACTTATGTATTTCTTCTGAAGACATGTGTGAACTTTTTTTACAAAAAGGCTGGGAATTTTGTTCGGACAATCGTTTTATCTTTCGTCGTGGTGGAATTTCTTCGGAAGACAACAAGACATTATCCTTAGAGAATGATACGACGAATAATGACCTTATGAGCAAGTTATCTGAATTGATGTGTTTTATGGAAAATCACTAAATAATAATACAATTCTATTATATAATCAGACTTCTCACTATTTCTATGTTTCCTAGTTTCATTAGCTTTTTCACTTTTAGGTGGCCGACTATGGATCTGATGGGAGTCGAGTGCATTCAATATTCTAAATCTGCCATGGAGTTCTCACTATGCTGTCCTGAATGTAAATTTTCTACTACCTCAACATTCGACCTTCGTAAACATGCGATGAATGCTCATTTAGGTCTTTTAGGAGTCAATTCTTTCGAGTTAGTGGTCTTTACTTGTTCTGTTTGTGGTGTATCATCAACTGATCATGCTCAAATAAAGGATCATATTACGGGTCATTTGAGAAAACATGAGGGAGATGAACAAGTTAGTCAGATATTTCAAAATCGTAGGAATTTGTTTTTATTTTATCAATGAGAGATTTCTGTTGTTATAAAACCTGCTAGACAAATTCATGTATATATATATATATATATATTAATATATAACATTTATTTCGACCGAAATTGTGAATCTGCAGACATAGTGCACCCATTTAGACTTGACTTGGTGATAGTGGTGACAATAGGTCCATTGTAAGGAAAGGTGAGAAGAAGCATAAAACAACCAAACCTAGTCTTAGTGTAGTGAGAAACCATATTTTGTTTATGCAGTTGTCAAACGAGACAACGTGAGGCTTTTCATATTTGCATGCTGCTTTCATAAAGCGATATAAATTCACTTATCATGTTCGGCCATTAGATTTTTTTATTTGTGAGCACTTTGTAGTTTTAGTTACATCTTATCATTTAAGGTTTGAATCTTAGTGAGTAAATGAATCCTTTTCTGACTTCTCTTTTATACCTAATTTTTATGATACAAAGACTTAAACAATCAATATGACAACTTCCAATGTTATATTTTTTAGAGCTTGCGATTCTTTCTTACCGGTAACGATGTTTTTTGTTACTGTCTTGCATAGTTTCACCAAAATAACACAATCTATGCAGGTGAAATTTACTTCACCTTCAGAGCATACCATTGATACTGTCATTATAATTTGTCCATTTATAAATAAATGTAATCTTCTGTGATAAAATTCTAGGATATGTTCTGCTAATTAATTTGAATACATGCATTAAGTTATAAAAATTTTTCCTCCAAAACAATCCGTTTCAGTGGATTTATTTTAGGCTATGCATTGTATATATATATATATATATATATATATATATATATATATATATAAATGTATATATGGAGTTTTAAAGGTAGGATAGTGAAACCGCGGAAACAGTTACTTATTAAGGTACTTTTACCAACGAAGGACCCAACTAGATCACATCGCTATCAGCCACCGACTGTCAGTCGTTCTACGGCACAGGTTTAGCTTTAGCTCACCTAGTTCGGATAAAGAAACAACACGGTCTTCGGCAGCTATGCTCAGATAACCGCCTATTTATAGCAAACACTAACTTTAATCATAGGGAAAAACATCTTTTGACCTGGTGACCCCCAAAGTCGACCCGACGATGGGCTCAACTAGATCACATCGCCAGAAGCCATCGGTGGGGAGGCTCTACTGAAGACTGCAGCTCATTCTGGAGCACTTGTTTAGACTCAGACCATTCTCTAGTACGTGTGCGTATTTGTTTGCGTTTTACTGGAAACCTCTTATGGCTCTACTTAATGATAACAAAATGCAAATTTTGCTTCATGATTGGCTTGCATCAGCACCTCAACAAGTGATAGTGAGTAAAATAGTTGAGCGTGTTTACCGCTCCACTGATCTGGGATGTTTCATCAGTGCTGATGACCTGGTGACTGACGAAATCCCAGCACGGATACACAACTGCCGACAGGCCTTTGCCAACTTGCGTCATTGGTATCGTAGACGATATGTCCATCTGCTAAGCAAAGGCTGAATATAATGCGTGGCAGGTCCCTCCATCTTACTATATGGATGCGAAACATGTTCAGTGAGAGGCGACCCGACCGTGGCTGCTACCTTGACGTGGTGGTCGGGCTTGCCTATCGTGATGATCCAACCGAGCTATACTGGCTGGAACGTATGTTCCTGCAGGTCCTACCATGCCAGACAGGTCGATTGGAGAACGATGAGACTAAAAGCAGCTACCCAAGGTCTGAGGGCGAAGTCGTACTGCTGACTGCAGAGGGGTGTGACAGCAGTAAGGTGTTTCCCTTGGACAACCAGCATCTGCAGCGATGCTGCCTTCTCACATGGAAGGAAGGGTTAGAAAAGGTCGGCCCTAAAAATGTCACACCTCCCCTAACTCACGGATTTCCGTCTCCTTGGGTAAGGGTGCCCACTAAGGGCCTTTAAGAACGGAGCTAATCCTCTAAATACCTTTCATAAAAAGGCCGTGCGTGACCGGCCTCAAGCAGTTGTCCCTTGGACTCTGCGGTCACGCACCAACACTAATCTATTTTCCTTTTCAGGTTCCTCAAGAAACAACCTTCCACGGTGTGGGCAGCCAGGAAGTGACAACCGCCCTCATACCCATAACAGCACGCGAGACCAAATTGGTCAAAATCAAATCCTTCCTACACCCCCTAATGTCTCTCTTATCTCC